CGTCTTGTTGCTCCCGAAATGTCCTGCGTATGGTACGTCATGAAATTCCTCTAATAGGATCTGTCGTAGCGGGGCGTAATTCGGTACCCAAATCTTTCCTGAACCCTTCCTTACCGCTAAGTCTTTCTCCCACTGTAACAGCTTCTGTTTCTCTGCCGTTGCGATCTCTGCGTCCACGGAGTACCCATGTTGGAATAGACCCTTGAGAAGAGGGTTCATCCCGTCGAGCTAGATGCCTGCTACATGACCGGGGCGGCTCAACGTGTCTGCATTGTTGTGTAGCTCGGGTTTGTAGACAATGTCGTAGTGGAAGTGGGTCTCCAAGAAATCCACCCACCGCACCTGTCGTCGTGAAAGCGTCGGCTGCGACTTCAGGTATTTGAGACTGCAGTGGTCAGTGTAAACTGTGGTCTTGGCTCCCTCTAGGTAACACCTCCACGCTTTGAAGGCTACGACTATGGCTAAGGCTTCCTTGTCGTGAATGGGGTAGTTCAGTTCTGCTCCGTGTAACTTCTTACTGAGGTAGGCAATAGGCTGTAAACCGTTCCCGTGATCCTGCATCAGTACTGCTCCGACTGCCTGGTCACTAGCGTCCGCTTCAACTACGTAGTCCTTGTCGGGGTCCGGTAGGATGAGTACTGGCGCTGTGGTCAGTGCTATCCGTAGCTGTTCCATGGCTTGCTGATGAGGAGTATCCCATCTGAAGGGCGTATCCTTTTTTAGTAGGTCGGTCAGTGGCGCTGCTATCTTAGCGTACTACGGCACAAACCTGTTGTAGTAGTTGGCGAAGCCGAGGAACTGCTGTAACTCCTTCACGTTCTCCGGAACTTTCCACTTTTTAACGGCTTCGATCTTCCGCGGGTCCACGTGTACGCCCTCAGCACTCACCATGTGCCCGAGAAATTGCACCTTCTTCAGGGCGAAGTCGCTCTTGGACAGCTTCACGTAGAACTTGTTTTTCCGCAGGATCTCGAACACCTTCCGCAGATGCTCCATGTGCTCCTTCATGTTCTTGGAGTAGATGAGGATATCGTCCAGGTACACTACTACGCATTCGTCCAGCAGGGGCCGGAGGATGTGGTTCATCTCTGCCTGGAACGTTGCTGGTGCGTTGCAGAGTCCGAACGGCATCACCAAGTATTCGTAGGAGCCGTATCTCGTACGGAACGCCGTTTTGTGGATCGAGTTGTCCGCCATCTTGATCTGCCAGTAACCCGACCGTAAGTCCAGCTTCGAGAAGACTGTTGCACCACGTAGTTGGTCCAGTAAGTCGTCGATGCGCGGTATGGGGTATTTGTTTTTGACTGTCTGTTTGTTCAGTGCGCGGTAGTCGATGCACATCCGTAAACTGCCGTCTGGTTTTGGTGTGAAGAGAACTGGTGCGCCGTAGGGAGAGGTGGATGGTCGGATCAGTTGTCTGTCTAGTAGATACTCGATCTGTTTCTTCATGTCTGTCAGTTCGGTCGGACTCATTCTGTAGGGTGCACGTGAGACGGGTTTCGCACCTGGTTCCTCCACGATCTCGTTTTCTTGGGTGCGTGCAGGAGGTACGCCTGCAGGTAGGTCGTCGGGCATGATGTCTTTGTACTGCTCCAAGACCTCTTTCACTGCTGCGGGTAGCTCGGAACCCGGTTTCACCTCTTCTGCTGCTGCCGTGACTAGTGCTAGATAACCCGTGTTACTCTCGTTCACCGTCTGTTCGAACCGTGCCAGTGTCGTTTCAGGAATATCCCCTGTATCCGTCCAGCTTCGCAGTGCTATCTGCTTCCCGTTGTTGTAGATGCACACCTTGCTGTTGACCCAATTTGTAGCTGTCGTAATTCGCAGCGATCACCTGCCGCCGAATCTCCAATTTTAACCCTTCTGTGTACGCCTGGATTTTTTCGCCTTCGGTCAGGTCGGGGATGCGGGTGAACAGGAGCTCCATCTGCTGCGTGTACTGTGCTACACTACTGTACTGCTTGTGCCGATGAATTTGTTGCCGCGCCATGTAGGTGGTATTGATCGGTTCGAAACGCCCGATTAAATCTGCCCGAAACTGCGTCCACGATTTCTCCCCGCGGGCCACGTCGGTGTTGTAGATCCACTCGAGTGCCGGTCCACGTAACAGTGTCGCTGCGAGCCGGATTCGTGTTGCGTCGTGTGTCGGGGTCGAACAGCCAATGGCCTCGAAGTAAATTTCGAGGGTGGCCACAAATCGCAAAACGTCGGATCCCTTCGTGCTTGGATCGAACGCTTCCGGGAGCCTCGGTCGTGCTGCTTCGAGGTTCGGCGACAGTGGTGCCATCGGTCCGTGAAATGTCGGTGTCGCCACTGCTGCTGGAGTTGTCGGTGCTGCAGTCGTTGCGGTCGCTGCTGCTGTGGTGGCGAGCACTGGGTGGCTTGTCAGAAAAGCCTCGAGTCGACGAAGCGTCGCCTGCGTCTGCTCCATGTCGGTGCGGAGGCTCGCGATGTCGCTCGTAGTCGCGTAGTTGTCGCCCTGGCCTTCCATGCCTGACATTAACGCGTCCGAAAAACCGAATCGAGGGGGAGCGAAAAACACGGAACCGGTTTTACGTACCCGAAATCGATGTTTAACTGCGTCGCCCCCGCGGTTTTTTGAAGACTGGTTTTTAGCGGTCGAAGGATCTAGGATCGAGCTCAGAAAAGAGAATGTGAATTGAATGATCACCTGGGTACAACACGAGGCTATATATAGGCTCGACACAAGGGGCAGTAACCAGGTGTTACGCGAAGGTTCTGGGGGTCGCGAAGCGTCCCGAACAGACCCTTCCCAAATTCGGTAGAAGGCAATTCAGTGGCAACCGAATAGCCCAGAATTCGGTGTACGCAACCTAGCTCGGTGCTATAACTATAATAAAATATAGGAAAGCACCTAGCCTAGGAAATCAAGCAATTCATGCATGCATAAAATAAACCTAAGCTAGAAGTAGCATAATAAAGTAAAGGCAAGCATGCATAGCTGGCATAAGCCGTCGTACTCTCACAATTTGGGCAGTGTGTGCGAGGATGTCCAGATGTTTTGCAGAGATGGCAGAACGGAGGTACAAGTCGTTGTGCTTGATGCTTGTTCTGCCGGTTGTTGTTGTTGTTGTAGCGCCGTTGAGTGTGGAATGCAAATTCGGGTACTGACGTTTTTCTCTTGTACCGCTCCTCGTGCAGGTCCATGTCTTGCTGTTCAGCGTGAATTTCGGCGCAGAGTGCCACTTCGGAGATCTTCCCGTGAGCTCGGAGAACGGCTCGAGTGGAGCGCCAATGGGGACAGAGGCCGGAGATGACGACTGTAACGAAGGCTTCTTCAGATATCGATCCTCCGCATCGAAGAAGCTTGTCGCGCAGTCTGCGACAACGATTGATAAACGCCTTTCCCTTTTCGCCGGGTTTCATTTCCACTGTTGTCAGCTGTGCCATTAACCGACTTTGATTGACACTGTCTGTTGCTTGATACAGGTTCTTCAAGTGGTTGTATGCGAGCTCGGCGGAGTTGCCGTATCCCCGATAAGACCGGATGTTCTGCTGCTCGTTCGGCGTTATGTTTCGTAGCAAGATTGTATACGCCATCAGCGACTGATACGTGTATTGTTGCTTGTCGTATTGTGTTCCGTGCGTTGGGTATGGCAGGGAACCGTCGAAGAATCCGAGGATTTGCGCGCCTTCCATCATCAGCTCGAATTCGAAGGACCAGGTATAAAAGTGTCAGAACTAGCAGACAGAAACAAGAATGAAGAAAGGAGGGGTTTCACTAGCAGCAGTTGGCATACATATAGGAAACCCTAATTGGGTTGTACTCGCTATAGAGTACCCCACTGCAGGCTAGACAATAATAACATTCCAACAAAAAGTCCTTTCCGACAAAAGGCGTAGATGTCTGCAGCTTCAGATGTGCGAACTGTGATTGAACTTGAAGCGCATCTAGTGTCTTCTCTTGTGGAGGCTATTGGTGCGGCATGAAGCTGATGGAGCCACGTTGAGGCTCGTACGGGGCGAAGGCAGGTTGCTGCTGGTTTCCGCGCGCATAGGACGAACCGTCAAGACGCATTGGAGTAACGCCGTTATTGACGTCGCTGTTGTTTGATTGTGCAGGTGCTGCTTGCTGGTGCTGTTCGTAGAAGGACATGAAGGAGAAAAATTTCTCCATCATACTTGGGTCGAAGCCTGATGCCTGGTTCGCAGGAGTTTCAGTAGACTCAGCAGTTGGTCTTGTCGCCGTGACTCCCTCTGTCTGTAGGCTAGAGGCTGGTGGTGGAGTAGGGGTAGTGCCAGGAGAGCCGTTAGAGGAGCTTCTCTCTTTCTGCGTTGCCATGCCTTTCAATGTTGTAGGGAACTTGGATGAAGTTGGATTTGCCTTGACAGCTCTCATACCATGTTGGGCTGAGAAGCCCTTAGGATCTTTTCAAGGCTGAAATCCTGGTAGGGATGTTGTAATTGCGGAAGCGTTTAAAAACAAGTGTTGAACCACCTTGCGCTAGTATGTGAGGGCAAGATAGATTGATTAAAACAAAAGTGATACCGTACAAGCTTTTATATGAGTACAAGAGAATACGAAATGTTTAATTTACTGCTATTCGTAACTGTAATTGTAACTTCTGCTGTTGCGGTTCGATACAGCGACGACTCGGGCAACTGCTCAATAGCGAGTCAGTTGTGTGTCCTTGCTGTCGCGCTGTATTTTGGTGAGTCAAAGGTCGCTGACCTTTGACCTTCGCGTAACCTCCGGCTGTTACCTTTTCTATCAACCTCCTTGGTTGACTCGCCATTGCTCCGCTGTAGCTTGTCTTGTTTACGGTTTGATGTTATGACACATAGGAAGCGTTAAATGACTTGTTTCCAACATCTACTTCTACGCTATGCAGCTGAGCAAACTGCCACTTTTGTGCCGCCAACTTTTTCCCTAAACCATTTGAGCTCTGAAACAAAAACATCCAAGTCAGAAAATATGGATATCCAGTTTTCCCCGTGGGTGCCCTGCTCTTCATCTCCCTTCTTTTCATGCTGCCCCTTCACGATGCTCCTTTCCGTTGGAACCGAGCCAGCGCAAGTGGCACCGCAGACTTCCCTTCCTCGCCTCCTCCACTCGCCCCTCCCCCTCCTCCGCCCTCCTTGGCGCGCACATCTCTCCGAGTGGCCTCCCGCTTGCTCTCAATGATGTTCATCTTCCTCTTCTTGGCTCGCTTTGATGGCTTGTTCCGCCCCTTGGTCTTGTTCTTCTCCCGTGGCCGCTTCGCCCCATCCTTTCCCTCCTCCTCACCCTCTTCCTCATCCTCCTCTTCCCCCTCCTCTTCGCCTCCCCCTCCCGCACCACCTTCCCCACCCTCCCCACCCCCTCCCTTCTTTCCCCCGGGGCTCTTCCCGAGGCTCTTTGCCCGAGCCGCAGCGTTAGCCTTGGAGACAAGGGTGTTGGTGAGGGAGCGTTGGCGCTCATGGGGGCGGAGGAGGGTGCCGATGCGGTCGGGGTCGCGCATGATGGATTCGGGAGGCAGCTTGTCCAGCAGCATGTGGACCTCCGCCTCGCGCCGCTGCTTCCCCGTCTCAAACGGGTTCGCCACAAACGAGTCAAAGTTCGCCTCGCCTGCCCCGGGCACCAGCAGCGACGAGAACCCTTCCGCATGCCCGGCGCCCAAAACGTCCTCGTATGGGCAGAAGGAAAGTCTCTCCACGGCTGCTGCCGCGGTGGTTCCGGCGAAAGTAGCAGCCGCCCCTCCTCCCCCGCCACTCCTGGTGTTCCTGTTTGCCCCACTCGACTGGATCCTGAGCTTCAGGTACGGCGTGTGCTGCTTCGCTGTCAGCGCCTCCTTCCACACCTCCACCGCCGACCCGAACCCCACTGCCAGCATGTCGTGCTGACTCAGCGCAATCGTCCTCGCTGGCGTGGGCGAGACGTACGAGTGCAGCTCGCGCAGCGTGCGCACGTCCCACACGCGCACGCGCCCCTCCATGCCCGCCGTCACCAAGTACCGCCCCGCCGACGCGTCACTCGCGATGGCCGTCAGCGGCGCGTGGTGGGCCAGCAGCGTGGCGAGAGGGGTGCCCATGGAGGGGCTCCAGAGGGTGACGGTGCCGTTGCTGTGGCCCAGGGAGATCACGCCCGTGCGGCTGTCGGCTGTGATGGCGTCGCAGCGCCCCTTGCGCGTCTTGCACTGCGCCACGTGGCGGCCCGTGGTGGTGTCCACGTAGTCCAGCACTCCGCCCTTGGAGATGGACGCCAGCAGCATGTGGTGCGGCAGGTACTGCAGGCGCAGCGCCCCACTGCCCGTGATGTTCTGGGGGAGGGGGAGGGGGAGGGGGACCGAGAGGGAGAGGGGGAGGGGGAGGGGGAGGGGGACGGAGAGGGAGAGGGGGAGGGGGAGGGGGACGGAGAGGGAGAGGGGGAGGGGGAGGGGGACGGAGAGGGAGAGGGGGAGGGAGGGGAAAGGGGGAAGGGTGGGGAAGAGGGAAGTGAAGAAGGGAAGAGGAGTGAAGATGAGGGAAGTGGAGGGAAGAGGAGGAAAGAGGAAGGAAGAGGGAAGAGAAGGGAAGAGGAGAGAAGTGGAAAGAAGAGGAGAGAAGAGGAGGGAAGAGGAGCGAAGAGGAGGGAACAGGAGGGAAGAGGAAGGAAGAGGAGGGAGGAGGGGCAAGGATGGAAGAGGATGCCGAATGAGGAGCTTGCAAAGAAACATGCTGGCAGAGCCATGTAATGGGTGGTGGTGCAGTGCTGCCGTCGTGAGGCGGCCAAGAAGCTGTGAGGGGCGGGTGAAGAGCGGTAAGAGGCCAAAGGAGGCGTAGCAGGAGCGGAGGCAGTGAGCGAAGTGTGAAGCATGGAGCATGGGAGGTGAGAACAGAAAAGGGAGCATGGCAGCGCACGGAGCATGTGTGAAGCATGGATAATGGGAGGTGAGAACACAGCAACGCACCTTGAGGCAGTGCAGCTCCATGCCCCTCTTGTCGTAAATGAACGTGTACCTGGAGGGTGAGGGAAGAGGGGGGAGGGGTGTGGCGAGGGGTCAGTAGGGAGGGAGGGAGGGGGAGGGAGGGAGGGAGGGAGGAGGGAGGGAGGGAGGGAGGGAGGGAGGGAGGGGGAGGGAGGGAGGGAGGGAGGGGGAGGGAGGGAGGGAGGGAGGGAGGGAGAACAGAAAAGGGGGAGTTAAAGGGGGATGGGAGGAAGCGAAGAGGGCAGCATGGGTACAGCGTCATGAGTATGATGGCAGGAACAGGGTTACTGGCAAGGCCAGTGTGGAGCTCATCTCTAGTGCAGTGCGGCAAACCATATGTGCGCGTGCATGTAGTGTGTAGATTCACAAGTATGGGAGAACACGGCCACCTCTTTTGACATACTTGTGAATCCAATCAACTGTGTTGCGTTCCGGCAGCAGTTGCTCACCTCTTCTGCGCGGCGGCGAAGAAGAGCTCATTGTGGAGGAAGCACACGTCGTGCACCGTCTCCCGTACCTGGTGGCATGTGATGCCACATGCACACATATGCACAAAAAGGCATATCCGGCCATATACAGGCATAGTCACGTACACGCGCAGGTGCTCCGATATAAATCCATCCACACGACCATTACAAACAGACAAGCCAAGCAACGAGAGGAGGTGAGAGCATACAAGGAGTTATGAAAAAGCCATGGTGGGGCAAGAATGACGTAGGCATGGGCAATTGACCCGACCCGGCCCGACCCGTCCCGTCTAGGGCGACCCGTTACCAAAACGGGTCGGGACGGGTCGGGTCGGCGGGTCGGGTTTGACTCTGTTTTGATGACCCGACCCGTCCCGTAGGCACGGGTATTTGTGACCCGTACCCGGGTCGGTTACACCACGGGTCGGGTCGGGTCGGGTCAAAACTTGCTACAGAGCAGCAGGGTATGGCGTTCGCGCTACTGCAAGGCCGCTATCGCGCTATTGCGGGCATGCGATCCCGCCAATGCGTGCCCGCCCCTGACCTGCACTAAAGCGGCGACGCGATCGCGCGTATGCGGGGCCGCGATCGCGCGTATGCAGGGGCGAGATCGCGCTGCGCAAATGCGGGGCCGCGATCGCGCTATTTCGTGGTCGCGATCCCGCCAATGCGTGACGGCGAGCGCGCTGCTGCGCTTCTGGTCGTGCGACGCTGCGAAATGGCGGGAGCGCCTATACCTAACCTGACTCAGAAGTATATAATAGTGTTAACATTGATTTCAAGGTTCTCAGAGGCTTGGTAGGCTAGAGACTGGATCTGAATGTCGAGGGGGAAACAAAACATAAGAAACCAACTGACGTTCTCCCCTCTACAAATTGTACCCTAATCAGATCACGGGTCGGGTAACCCTAACATTTGACTAGGTAGGCGACCCGGACGGGACGGGTCAACCCGACCCGGCGGGTCGCTAATACCCGTCTAAAAATCACGTAGACGGGTCACGGGTCGACCCGACCCGTCCGGGTATACCCGACCCGACCCGGACGGGTCGACATGCTCGGCATGACTGACCCGACCCGCCCAATAGGGCGGGTCGGGTCGGGTAACCCGACCCGTCCGGGTCAATTGCCCATGCCTAGAATGACGCGACCCAGCGAAGTAACTTGACGCCGACAGACACCCTTTTACATGCTGCAAATTACGACATGTGTGTGTGCACAATGGTGAACATCATTCCCCTCTCCTCAACTTCACTTCCTTCACTCGCCCCCCACACGCCCCCCACACCCCTCACCTGGATCTCGGTGGTGACGTGGCAGCGCCGCCAGTCCACCACAGCGACGTGCCCCTTGCGCCCCCCCAGCAGCAGGCTGCGCCCGTTGAGTGAGTAGGCCGCCTTGTACGGGCCCAGCTCTGATGGTGGGGCGAAGAAGAGGAAGGGAAGGTACCACAAGGGAGTCAGGGCAGGCCGCGGGAAAAGCTGGCTAGCGTACGAACGAGCCAGAAGGGGCTGTTTTGGGTAGAAGCCACAAGGGGCTGCCTTCCACCGGTCTGGAGTCTGGTGGCGGGAGAAGGTTGAATGGGGCAAGGTAGACGAGAGGTGATTGAGACGGTACCTAATGAGGTCAAGAAGAGAAGGCCGGGGATGGGGGGAGTAGACACAGATGGTTCAAGAAGGCCCATGTTACGGTGTTGAGAGAGCAGGAAGCGCGGGAGAGGAGAGAAGGCAGGGATGAGGAAAGTTGGTCGCAGTTGGGGAGGATTGCTGGAAGTTTGTACCATACCTACCTCCCACCCATCACCACACGATCCACGTGGCCACACGATCCACGTGGCCACACGATCCACGTGGCCACACGATCCACGTGGCCACACGATCCACCTGCTCACTCAAGGTCGAAACACATCTCCTGCTCGCCGCCCCAATGCTCCATGCACTGCTGCACTGTGCCTACCAGCCCCTGCGGCCTGCCATGCATCACATCCCTTCAACACCCCCCCCCCCCTCCCCCCCCCCCCCCCCCCCCCCCCCCGCCCCCCCAATCACCATCATCACAGCACCACCATCCCACAGCACCACCATCCCACAGCACCACCATCCCACAGCACCACCATCCCACAGCACCACCATCCCACAGCACCACCATCCCACAGTGCCATCCTGGCACAGCCCCACCACCACCCCACCGTACCCGCACCTGGCAGTTTGAGGTGGAAGGCAGCTCGTCTGCTGGCGGCGCCCACGTGCTGCACGATGTCGGCCTGAGACAGGTTGCTCGTGCGCTCCACGCCCTCCGCCTCCACGTACCCGGCTTCTGATGGCAGCAGCCACTGATGGCGGTGGGTGGGTGGGGTGGGGGGTGGGGGCGGCAACGGGGGGGGGGGGAGGAGGGAGGGAAGGGGAAGTGCAAGGAAGGTGGGTTTGAGCATCACGTGTCAGCCTGCGTCAGGTTTCTCGTGCGATCCACTCCCTCCACCTCCACACGACCCGCCTCTGATGGCAGCAGCCCCTGGGAGCGGGAAGAGGGCGTGCAGAGCAAGGGACTGGGGATGGGAAAAAGGAGGTGGGCAAGAGAGAAGCGCCCTGCATGTCATTCGACCATGCAGTGGAGGACGAGAAGTGGGGGGAGCAGGAGTTCCGAGCATGGGGGACCTTGTAGGGAAAGGAACAGAGAGCGGGCAACGAGACGAGGGCAGGTTAGCGGGTTTGGATGGGGAAAGGAGGGCTGGAATAAGATTACAGGAGGGAGGCGAGCATGGCAGAGAGCGATTGAGGTGCAGGCAAGGAGGGAGGAGTGCGGGGCGATGGGAAGGAGTGAAGGAGAGAGCGAAGGGATGTAAGTTGCTCGCGTACCTTCTCTGCCTGAGCAGCCGTCAAAACTCCTTGGCCAATCACCTTCTCCCGATGCTCCATCTTTGCTTTCAATCTGCCCGGAAATTTCTGAGAGGTCGAAAAAAGGGGGCGAGAAGCGGGGACGACCGGGAGAAAGGGGGTCAGCAGAGGCGGAAGATGCAAAGGCGAGGCGAGCAGGGGAGACGAGGGGGAAGGAAGAAGAAGAGGAGGTCGGCGAACGAGATTTATGGGGGGGTTGAAGGGAGGGTGGGACCAAGGGGGGAAAAAATGGGGGGAAAGAAGGAGGAGATGAAGGGGGAGATGAAGGAGGAGATGAAGGGGGAGATGAAGGGGGAGATGAAGGGGGAGATGAATGGAAGGAGGGGAAGAGGGGTTGGAGTTGAATGGGGGGATTACGAGGGGTTGAAGGTGGGGTAAAGGAGGGGAGAGGGGCAGAGGTCGGATAAGAGAGGGGCAGAGGTCGGATAAGAGAGGGGCAGATGCCATTTTTTGCCGCAGCACCAGCAGAATGAGGAGGCTCGCAGCGAAACACCCCTCACGACATCACCGCTCTGCACCGCTCAAGCATCGCCAAATTAAAGCCGTTAGCGCCCCTGACCACACCTACGACCAACTCTCCACGCCCCTCACCCCCTCCTCCCGCAACAGCCAGCTTCGCCTGCCTGCCCTTGTCCACGCCTGCTCACTGCGCGCACCACTGCGCGCACCACTGCGCGCACCGCGCTCCTCGCTCCGCGCGCACCTTCTGCAGCACTCACGCCTTGCATCGGACTTAACCGCCTCATCCGCAACTGCACTTGCTCATCCGCAATCGCCCCCACGACCCTCTAGTCCAAGCAGCATCCCCGCCACCCTCACGCGCCACCTCACCTCACTCGTTACCGTCGCACCTCGGTTTTGAGCGCCTTGCCGCGGCTGTACTTGCCCATCCTGCCGCGCGTCTCCGCATCCACACCATCCTCCCCCTCCTCATCATCCTCCACCTCCCCTTCCTCCACCATTCCTTCCTCCCTCCGCTCCTCGCCCTTCCCCCTCCCCTCGTCATCCGCGGAGTCCTTCCCCCACGCGCTCCAATCCGTTTCCGCCTCCCCGCCCCCAGGTTCTCTCCCCGTCAACCCGAAACCCTCAGTCGTGCCCCCTAGACCCTCCGCCGCATTACACCCCAAACCTTGCGCCGCATTCCTAGCCTTTCCTCTCTTCTCGTCCTTCGTTTTCGCGGCCTTGCTACCGTCGACGAAGTACCTTTCGCGACGGTGTGGTGGCTTTCGCTGGCCTTTCGCCAGTCCTGCCTTCCGTCCGTTTGATTCTAAGACGACAGCCGGCGACGCATCCTGCCCCCCCTTTCCGTCAGAAGGCGTAGCTTCGGCGTCCGCCATTGCCATCGTAAACGGTTGTCGGGCTGACCAAACGAAGCTCTTAGGAAGGAGATTGCACGTGATTTCTCGAGCAAATGGTATTCTCTCGGTGGCGCTAACGCTTCCCTCGTTGCCCGAAACGGCCGACGAACACTGCCGTTGCCTATCGTGCGGAACTGAAGTGCAATAAAGCCTATTAGCTAGGCGAAGCAAAACCAGCTGGATGGAAAGAATCAAGGGTTTATGTGATTCGTTCGGGAATGAGACACACTTCGCTTATCCTCGATATGAACAATAACAAAAAGTTATATATTAAACGAAAGATAAGATAGCAAATGAACTTGCAAATATTTTCGCGTACAATCCGCTATCTGTCACGAACCCTAAATTGCTCAGTAACAAGGATTAGGTCACCCCTCGGATCTGGACGGCGAGTCGCAGCTGGTCGGCAGATCACATTCTTCCGTCCGTTTACAATTGTTGTTCTTGCAACACCCAACCACGTCATTGCCTCACACGAGTGGTTTGGAGAAAAATCCCCTAGAACCTGCCGCGCGAAATTCCCTTGCCTCTTTCTGCCGCGCGAAATCCCCTTTCTGCCTGCCTCTCTCCACACCTGATGCGGGTGATAACGCATGTGTGGAGCAGAGGGGCAGTATGGCAGTTGCACGTTCAAAGCGGAAAACATACGCCATGGCCCGACCTTGGCGCAACCATGGAGATCTAAAACGGCTGGCTTTAATCTGTTGCACCTGCTTCGTCTCATTCGCACTCGCCCTGACCCTCCTAGTATTGCCATCGCTTCCCGTCGCCCTTGCACTCCCAAATTTCGCGCAAGCACCTAGAAACGGAGAGAGGAGGCACTGGGCGGCCGGGTTGCGAAATGGCTCGCTCAATCTGCACGCATCGCACGGATCGCACGCGTCCGGATTCGCCGTGCCTAAAAGTATGATTAGTATGCAGCATGGCGCGAGGTTCGCCGCGAGCAGGGAGGCGGACATGGCGTCCGCTCCAGCAGCGGGACCCACCGACCCGACCCTTCGGCCGTCCCAACGTGAGGCCCGGTCAGCGACCCCGATGCTCCGCCCACATCCCCGAAGACCCTCTTGCGCCGCGGTCAGGGTTCCCCCTGACTGATGAGCCATTTCCGCGCATGGGTCTGAAAGCAGTTTTGGTTACCCTGCCTGCCGCCCCGTCGCCCTCACTACCGCCTCATTACCGTCCCATCGCCCTCACTACCGCCTCACTACTGCCCCATCGCCTTCACTACCGCCCCATTGCCTTCACTACCGCCCCATTGCCTTCACTACCGCCCCATTGCCTTCACTACCCCCTTTCATAACGGGCCATTGGGTCCCCTGGAGCCAACGCCCTACTTGGTTCATCCCACTTCAGGATCTCGAGTTTCACTGCGCAGCGACTTCGCTGGTGGGCCAGCGGAGGATCGTTTGCTGGGCTCGACAATCGATTACACCGTTACCGCATTCCAGTTCTTGCTGCGACCAGTCAGTCAGGCGAAAAACGCCACAAGTCAAGAACCGAACCCTAGGCTCTGATGCCAACCCCCCACTAGACTAACTGCCCCCATCCCCGCTTCGCCTCGGTTGTCATCAAAGTGGTACTTACCTTTCCTCCGTGCGACGTGCCCCTTCTCACCCTACGTCCCTCCATGTGCTCTTGGCCCCGTTATTCCGCTGCCCTGTCCGCCCTACCCGCTCCTCCATCTGCTTTCCTCACCAACCTGGTCTACCTTCTGCCTCACTCGGGCTGTGTGCGTGCGTGACTGCGTGGGTGGCGGCAGTGCGAGTGCTGGTGGAGATGAATGCAGCGCTGCATGGGTGGCCGGGGAACAGTCGCCTCTCCCGCCACTGCAGCCAGTGGGCTGGTGTCACATGCAACCACAGGGGCCTCGTCACTGCCATGTATGCCGCCTCGTCACTGCCATGTATGCCGCCTCGTCACTGCCATGTATGCCGCCTCGTCACTGCCATGTATGCCACCTCGTCACTGCCATGAATGCCGCCTCGTCACTGCCATGTATGCCACCTCGTCACTGCCATGTATGCCGCCTCGTCACTGCCATGAATGCTGCCTCGTCACTGCCATGTATGCTACCTCGTCACTGCCATGAATGCCACCTCTTGTCCCCGTTGTGGCCCACACCTCACCTCACGTACATCCTTTCTGAGTCCCTTCCTCCTCCTCCTCCCAAGGCAGAGACCTGTCATCCGCCTCTGTGTTGGGCAGCCTCCCATCTTCTCTCGGCCGTCTCGCTCACCTCACCTACCTGTCAGTAACCTGCCCTGCCAAGCTCTGCATTGGCATACCCAGCAGCATGTGTGGAGCTTTCCTCTCAAGTTGCAAATTACCATTGCCACCATTGTTTATTCATTTCCTCGCCATCTGTTGTGTCAGCTCAACTCTTTTCATCGAGGGCTTATCAGTAGGCAAAGCCTTAAGAATCTGCACAGCGTCACACCCGCATGTAGCCGCCTCACGCGCCCCCAGAAACCTCAAGTTTGTTCGTCACTGTGTTCGCTGATTCAACCACACGCGTCAGGACAAACATGGATGTTCTGTCAGCGGCGGCAAGTGTCCTTTGAGCCAAGAATTCAGGGACAGCGAAGCAGTATCCAACCAAAATCAGGATTCCCACTTCTTTTCTCCCTCTCATGGTCTTCTTCCTGCCCCCCCCCCCCCCCCCCCCGATTCTGTTTCGCACCCTGCCCTTCTGTTACCTCATTCCCCCCTCACTCCCTCATCCCATGTCCACCCACTCAGCAATATTGGTTCACCGAATATCACGGGGAGCGTGGAGGGCCTTTCATGGATCTCAAGCCTCACCAACCTGCATTCACTGTACGCCCTGCATTCACTGTACGCCCTGCATTCACTGTACGCCCTGCTTTCCATGCACTGTATGTTCCCATTCTACAAGCTACCTCTCATGTTTGCCCGCCCGCCGTGTTCCCCCAACTGCGGCATCACACCAAGGTGATGGCGAGCATGCATGGACAGCATGGGGGGACCTATTGGGTGCTGTCATGAGAGTGAAGGATTTTGCTGCTCGTTGCCCTGTGTTCCCCTCCGTGTCCCCCAACCCATGTCATCACACCACGGTGATGGCGAGCATGCATGGACAGCATGAAGGGAGGTCTGTGCTGTCATGAGAGTGAAGGATTTTGCTGCTCGTTGACCTGTGTTCCCCTCCGTGTCCCCCAACCCATGTCATCACACCACGGTGATGGCGAGCATGCATGGACAGCATGGAGGGAGGTCTGTGCTGTCATGAGAGTGAAGGATTTTGCTGCTCGTTGCCCTGTGTTCCCCTCCGTGTCCCCCAACCCATGTCATCACACCACGGTGATGGCGAGCATGCATGGACAGCATGGAGGGAGGTCTGTGCTGTCATGAGAGTGAAGGATTTTGCTGCTCGTTGCCCTGTGTTCCCCTCCGTGTCCCCCAACCCATGTCATCACACCACGGTGATGGCGAGCATGCATGGACAGCATGAAGGGAGGTCTGTGCTGTCATGAGAGTGGTGGATTTTGCTGCTCGTTGTGCTGTCATGAGAGTGGTGGATTTTGCTGCTCGTTGTGCTGTCATGAGAGTGGTGGATTTTGCTGCTCGTTGTGCTGCCATGAGAGTGGTGGATTTTGCTGCTCGTTGTGCTGTCATGAGAGTGGTGGATTTTGCTGCTCGTTGTGCTGTCATGAGAGTGGTGGATTTTGCTGCTCGTTGTGCTGTCATGAGAGTGGTGGATTTTGCTGCTCGTTGTGCTGTGTTTTCCTCCCCTGCGTGTCCCCCAACCCACGGCACCATGGCCCCATGGCACCACACCAGGGTGATGGCAAGCAGGGACAGCACGATGGGGGAGCTATCAGTCCTCACGTTCCTCACTTCTCTCAAAGCCATGCAAAGCCTGTAATGTGTATAAGAAGAGCATTGTGGGCTGCCTGTCCTCGCAGCTTCCTGCTCTTTTAATACTTTGTGTTTTTGTGCTTTGCAACAGAACAATTTTATGCATGTTTTGGAGAAGCATCGTACAAAGTGAATGAATTGGAAAACATGCTAGCATTCTAACAATTGCTAATCATTCGTTTTAATACGTGGTACGGTAGTACTTATGTAGCATGTCAGAACCAACAGCATCTAGCCTTCGTCGTGTCGGCGCACTCGGTTCTTTCACCGTAATCCCGCATCTCATGCCCAGCTGGCTCTGATCCAATGGCCCCCCCTCGTGACTGTCATGCGTGCAGCACCATCTCGATGGTTCCATGGACAGGGGAACTTCCGGCATTGCTTGCCACGCTCACCTCCCTCACTTCTCTGTAGGCTCTCAAATTGAGTCGCGCTCCAATCTCCCCATTGTTATATTTCCGCTCGACTCATCCATCCATCGCTGCCTCACTTTAATGTCCCTTTGTATTTCCTTGCACGTGCTAGTGAAGAAATACGCACTTCGTGATGCCCTGCTGCTCCTGCGTGTAACATGAAATGAACCGCTGTTCAGTTCCACTCGACCTTGTTCGTATCAAAACGAAGGGTTGATTAGACATGAGCAAAGCCCCGAAATGCTGTTCGCTTTACTAGTTACCAAAGCGAACCATTGTTTGAAGCTACAGGTTCGTTTCTGTCCCGGTCGAATATTTTCGGTGCGCTCAACTGAATTAGAAGATGCTTGTCAAATACGAACATGTTCGAGTGTTTGAAATGTGGAGGAGGCGTGGATGGTGGGGGAGGGGCGCTGGGGGGTCTGGGTTAGTGTACCATTAGTACTAGTTGTGTGCAAATTGAACACTGTTCGGTTCGATTCAAACACTTTCTTGTTCAATTACTCACGCCCCACTGTTCGACACCTTAGTCGAACAGTCAAACACCAGAATTGCTTGCCTGTATGCAGAGCAGATGTGATTGTGATTGTGCACGCAACGTGTTCATGTGCATATACGTATTTTATATGCGTTTACTAAAATGGTCTTTCTTAGTACGGAATAAAGCCCCATTTGCCTCTGCACATGTGCATGTCCTTGCGATCCACGTGCATATCCATGTGCCTCTCCAACCGTCACATACCTCAGGGACCTGAGCTACTTGGAAGAAACTACTGAATTTCCCCGATGGGTTGTGGAATTGACAGCTCTGCGATACTTGTGAGTTTGGCCCCGACCACCCTCGCCTCCTCACCTCACCCCAGCTATACTGCTCAACAGAGTTGTCTAGGTGGTGTGAGCATTTAAGGAGACCTGTGGTAGTAGTAAGTGTACCCCACGAGGCAAAGGCAAGAGATTGGGTGGCAATATGTTTGATCTGATCTGATGTTACAGTGGTCGACGTGTCTTTTGCAAGTCGCCTGTTTGGGCTCCTCTGGTACCGTCCTCCTTCCGTCTGGGCCCCTTGCTTCTGCCACCTCGGCCTGAGCCCGTGAGAGAGCAAGGGTTTAGTGGCCGCCTAAACCCTTTTATAACGTGAGAGGTGATGACAGCAGAGGAAAGAAGATGGGAGCAGGCAGGAGGACATGAGATGAGAAGAGCTGAAAAAAAGAGAAGATGGGAGAAGAATGCATCCAGGACCCCTTTACTACTTGTACCATCTTCTTCACTTCCTACAGTCCTCTTAATACCTGGTTCGGCCAGGGTTGGGCCGGCCCGAAAGTGCCCCGGGCCGAACCTGTAAGTTGGGGCTGACGGCCTGGGGCGGCCGAACCTTCCCAGCCCTCCGAACCCACGGCGGCCTGCTTTTGGCCCGCAGGGTTAGGGGTGGGCCGGACCGGTCCGCCTCGAGGCGCAGCCCAGGGTGGGCCTTTTTGGCGGGGGTCGGCTATGAGCAGCCAGCGCGACAATCTGCTAGAGCTCATTTGCGAGCTCCAACTTCCAGCAGCTCACATTTACCTTCTCGCCACTCTTCTCGCACCTACGTGGTTGTTTTTCCTAGCTTACTGTTACACTTTATGAGAAGTGATAGCGCGTGACGCCTTAGGTGCTTAGAATCTTGCCGATAGGTGCCTCGGCCTTCCCTTCTAGCCTTCCCCGCCTAGCCAATGCGAGGAGGTTGTCCTTGACAGATTTTCATATCTAAAACCGTTTGTTAATCAAATGTTCCTATATCGAAATTGCAACCACACCGAGCAGAGTTCGGCCTTGGTCGGGCCATACTCAGCCCGGCCGGGCCCTTCTCGGCCCGGACATGGCGGACCCGGGCCAAGGACTTTCTCCTTCGGCCCGGGGCAGGCCGGGCAGGGTTCGGCCTTCTTTTTGGGGCAGCCCGGCTTGGCCCGACCCGGGCCAAACCCTGCCCGGCCCGTGTTCAAACCTAAGCGCAGACTTTGATTTAGATGTGTGAGGTTGCCTTTCTCTGATATTGCTCAAGGCTCTTAGGTACACGGGCAAGAAAAGATGGGTAGGAAATTGAGAGCAAACCTCAATTGGCTGAAATCTCCGATTGGTGGGTTGGGGTGGAGATTTCGGTTCATCACATTTAAGTAAGGTTGAGTTCGTGGTGTAACGACCAACCCACAAAAAGTTGAAGTGCAGTATACTAAGATATGAAGTAGTTATAAATACAAAAGTTGAGATTGAAGGCTGACTCTAACCGTGCCGCCACAGCCCAACGTCTCAAATTCAGTCAGTATCTCCAATCTGCGCGGATTGCTGATCCGCCAGACACTGAATAAGTTGGCGGGTCAGACGACCTGATTCACCAAAGGGTAGGGTCGACCCAACCTTCCCTCAGGTCACGGATGAACCCACCCTATGCGCCCTGGACTGATTGGCTTTCCCGCCGTCTTGACCCAAGGTCAGGTCGCCCGGGCCCAACCAATACCCTCCCCAGGTTGTCCATGGTCGGGACAGCCCGGGACACGATGACTCGTTGTTCCGGCATACCTCCACCCCCGTGTGCTCCATCCCGCCACGCCAGCTCATGTGCTCTATTCCCCCACCCCACCACCATATCCTACTCTCCACTCCATCCCTCTGTCAGCGACAATTCTCGCAACAACGTTGCTGCTACCTACCGCTCTGATGTGGTGCCTCAAGAGCTTCACCGCCTCTCGCACCTGGAGCACTTGTGAGTTCCCCGTTCCATTTTTTCGCCCCCGTTTGCAAGGATTTCCCATCCTTGTGTGGTTGTTGCAAAGAATACTTTCAAAAGATTTCCTGTTCTTTCATTGTGTTGATTATTCTATCTACCGGTTGTACCTATAGCAAGCACTTGCGAGTTTCCGCCCTTTTGTTGTTTCCTGAACTGACGGACTTGCCATCTGTCGGCGTTTTTAAGTGTTCCTGTGATTGACTTGGTCCGAGAAGCTCCTGGCGCCATGTAACGACGGTTCGTAGATTATCCGTTATAACATGGTGTCCAATCAGCGAGCTGAGCTTGTCCAATTGCTCAAGCCAGATTCCAGAATCGAGTTGCCGATCAGTGTTGCCTGTGTGTGCCCTTTTTTCAAGCCGTAAACACCCCCTGGATCCGAGGTGTCATGAGTGTCGAGGGTGTGAACAGCCCCATCCTCGATTCATGAGCATTGTCTCACTTGAGAGTAATTGCAGGTGTTCGCTTCTTGCTGAGCCTGCTGCACGAGCACACACCAATCAGATTGGTCACGGACTGGTGCTGCCATCAGAGATGCGCTTGAGCCATGGGTCGGCACAAATCTTTTGAATGACTCAATGTGGTATCAACCAACCGTCACTCACTGGTATGGTATGGCAGTGATGCAAGAGGCAACAATCTCGTTGGAGCTCTTCCTGAGTACTGGGCCTCGCTCAACAACCTCACCTATTTGTGAGTGGTGTCTTCGTCCCGTGCATGCACAGCCACAACCACCATAATTACCCCCTGCTGTCCTCATTGGGCGGGAGAGTAGCGGGGCCGCTTTGTTCCCTTTTATGAAAGACATCCCTTATATCGTCATGTGGAAGTCATGCACGTACATTAGGTCTCAACCATGTCTTCTCATTTCTGTGAGAAACCTAAGAAATAAAACTTCCAGACAGGTCTACATTGAAACAAGCCGAATTCAATAGGCCAGAACCAGGCTGAGTTCGGCTCGATACGTAACTCGAAGGTCTGGAGGCAATCGGCTGAGCCCGGGCTGGGGCAGGGATGTCCGCATTCAGCCCGGGGGGAATCGAACCTGATTCGGCCCAGAACTTAAAACTGCCTCATTAGGTTCGACCCGGGCCAGACCAGGTTCACTTCTACCCGACTTCAGCCCTATCCTAGTCTGGTCTGGTGTAGTTGTAGTAGTTCGTGTTAGCTGGGTGTTACATTCACTTGCTTCGCCCTTAACTGTTTCCCAAGGTGTGTGAACAGTTTTTCTCGCGTAACATGCAAACCATTTCTGTGTCTTGATTCTTGTTACTGTCACCAACACGCAGGTCGTTTATTTGGAACCAGATTCGGGGCTCCATTCCATCGTCTTTCTCTGCCCTCACCGCGCTGTGCACGCTGTAGATAGCTTTGTTTGAAACTTAGGTCACACATTCACATGACGTACGTGGTCAAGTTCGCATCTGGCAACACACGTTCCCACAACTACTGGTTCGTGAGCTTAACACGCATGTCAGGAACTTTCAAAGAGATACCCGTCATTCTGCAGATTCTTTTGTGTTGCTGCACCTACAACAACAGCACTTCAAAAATGTCTTGCGGTTGCAAAAATGTCTTGAACCTCCTATCCTACTTATAGTCCACCATGCTCTTAGTGGATCCAGCAGCTCTGTGCCTCATGGTTGTGTGACTCATCCACACATGCCTCTCAGGTCCTTGTCAAGCAACAGCATGGATGGCACGATCCCTCCCGTCTTCTCCACTACTCTCACCAGCCTGTGCGTGCCGCCTTCCCTTGCCGCTCGATGCTATGTCTCGTCCCATGCGATGGTGGTGTGTACGCAAACGCACAACCGCTAAGTTACACAGCCACACTGCCGAACTCGAGCCTCACAACTACCCAACCTGCAATCCACAGCCACACAGCCACACCACTTGCTTCTTGGTAGTTGGCATGCTGGCAGGTGCATCCATAACTCCAACGCCCTCCTCCCCTCCTGCCAGCTTAACCAACTCCCTTGTGTCACCTTGCAGTGATCTGCAGGGGAATCAATTCTCCGGTCGCATTCCGCATTTCCTTGGCTACCTCTCCAGTCTGCAATACCTGTGCGTGCACAAGACAAGACAAGGCGCAAATGGTTGTGTTGCAAGTTCCATCATTTCTCATTGATGCTGTTGCTTGTGGCTTTAAACAGGATGTAATTTCTTGGTGACCTTGTGACACCTGCATGCATCCCATCTGGTTTCCTACTCGTATTTCTCATGTAATTATTGCTTCCTGGTGTTATGTTTCAGGAAAATCACTGGCAACAACTTTACAGGGGCCATTCCACGGTCTTTCACGAACCTCAAATATGTTTCTTCGCTGTGCGTATCAAGTTCTCTATCATCTCACGTAGTGGATTCGCAAGAATGCAGTGGTCCAGTGTGCGAGCCGTTTTTTGCAGAACATAATGGCCTTTTGAGCCTGAAAGACAAGTACGGGATATGGCACACATTGGTGCAAGCTCGCTTGAATATTCTGTAATGGTGGAATATGCCGTGGAGGGAAAGACGGGCTCACTGGATCGGTGAGCGGCAGGATTGTGTTGAGGAGACATGGGACGTGAGGACAGACATGGGACGTGAGGAGAGACATGGGATGTGAGGGTTGCTGGCAAAGGACCAAAATAGTTTGGTCCGAGTCGAACGGTTCTGGTTTGAGGGTGTAACGACAACTTCCCATTGGGTCCCGTTCTTTCCTGCTCTTCTTCAATCCATACGCCATGTATTATGTGCAACTCGTGTTGTGTTTCAGGGACCTTGGCAGCAACCAGCTGTCGTCGGGCCTTGATGTGATCAGCAAGATGACCTGGCTTACAACGATGTAATGCATCCCATAGGATCCTGGCTTGGATATCATGACTTCGATCAATTTGTGGGTTCAGCCAGTACGGTTTGCCTCATTGTGCCTCACTTGCTAGGTGGTACAAATGAATTTTGACTGTCGGAGTTACCCTTTTTTGGGCTCCCACATGATGGCTACCTGGAGTGGCTTAGTCACCTAGCTGCGATAGCTTGAGTACGGTAACAGAAATCCGCTATGATAGGTAAACAAGTCGAGAGAACAGGATAGCAGTGCTAGGCTAGGCTACTTGTGCCTGGCTACCCAGTCGCGCAATTCTCTGCATGATGGGTTGAGCCCGAACCGCCTGGGCCTTGGATTGGCCCTCGCCAGATTTCCTGTCTCCCAATGTCCTTGAAATTGCACCCGCAGTGCCCTGCTATCCCCAATGCTACCACCCCTTCGCTTCCCCCAATACCCAACTACCTCCCTTATAGATTGAATGATAGTTGCTACAGCACTTCTACACCTCAATTAGCATATGTCCAGAATATAATGCACTGACCATTAAATTCGGTGACATGACCTTTGATTCTCCCTATTATTTTTGCAGAGATATAAGCTCAAACCGATTTGCAGATGCATTTCCAAACCACCTGTCCTGGCCTTCAGTCAGCTTTTTGTAAGTTGACCCTCCGTCCACCCATTGACGTGTTGAAGCCAAACCTGCTCATTGCTTTGAGCCTTCTTCTGCTCTCCGTAGTGTAAGAAGTAATTAAGATTCAAGGAGTGGAACATTAAGAAACAAAAATTGGGAGCCTACACGGTTGAAGAGAGGATTGAGACGGTTTTTTGGTTGGGTTCGTGGCTAGGATCAATGGATCCCACCAAAACTCTTGGACAGTTGCAAATATTTGTTTGCAAACCCACTATTCGTGCAAACCAAGAGTTTGATAAGCGAAGTCTTACACTTGGGCTTCAAGTGGGTACGTATTTTCTATATTACCTAAGAATACTAATGCCGGCAAAGATAGCCGGATGGAGATACTAACACTCTCATCCTTTGCTGATCTCAGCCTGATCTAATCCTAAGTGGATGAATGCGTCCAACGTCCAATGTGCTAGCGTGTTTATGCTGGACACTCAGACGTTGAGCTCCGGACTCTGGATATAAGCTTCGGCCAGGCAGGCAAAAACATTTCTTCGGCAGGGCAAACATAAGGGGTAGAGGGGGCAGGGGGGATGTAGAGGCAGGATACCACGCAAATGAAGAGATTGTCTACATTAAAAATTCACTTATTTAATTAGATTGTTTGTATTGACACCCATCCTACCACGCTGGATACAGGCTTGAGTTGTGAGTTAGGTAGCTAGGGAATCTCAATCTCTCAATCGTCAACAAACTCTGTCAGCAAAATCTGCCAGATGTAGTCGGCATTTGCTTACAGTTTTGTGGGTAGGTTGGCTTCGCTAGAAAGAGAAATTGCAACAATGTTTGGGATCTGGTTCTGTTTAGGCAAAATCGAACAAAATCCCCATCGAAATTACGGTTGAGGCGAGTTCGTGGATTGCGAATTTGCTGCGCAAATGTTTCTATTCCGAGCTGCCCAAAATTTTATGGGCCGAGCATCCAGTGTATAAACGAGCTGGACGCTCCCTATCCAGGGCTTATATGTCCAATTCGTTCTACTCATCATGTTGATTTGCCCACCAACATGTTTTCACTTTCACACATGGTCTTTCACAACTAGGCATGGGCAATTGACCCGGACGGGTCGGGTTACCCGACCCAACCCGCCCTATTGGGCGGGTCGGGTCAGTCATGCCGAGCATGTCGACCCGTCCGGGTCGGATCGGGTATACCCGGACGGGTCGGGTCGACCCGTGACCCGTCTACGTGATTTTTAGACGGGTATTAGCGACCCGCCGGGTCGGGTTGACCCGTCCCGTCCGGGTCGCCTACCTAGTCAAATGTTAGGGTTACCCGACCCGTGATCTGATTAGGGTACAATTTGTAGAGGGGGAGAACGTCAGTTGGTTTCTTATGTTTTGTTTCCCCCTCGACATTCAGATCCAGTCTCTAGCCTACCAAGCCTCTGAGAACCTTGAAATCAATGTTAACACTATTATATACTTCTGAGTCAGGTTAGGTATAGGCGCTCCCGCCATTTCGCAGCGTCGCACGACCAGAAGCGCAGCAGCGCGCTCGCCGTCACGCATTGGCGGGATCGCGACCACGAAATAGCGCGATCGCGGCCCCGCATTTGCGCAGCGCGATCGCGCCCCTGCATACGCGCGATCGCGGCCCCGCATACGCGCGATCGCGTCGCCGCTTTAGTGCAGGTCAGGGGCGGGCACGCATTGGCGGGATCGCATGCCCGCAATAGCGCGATAGCGGCCTTGCAGTAGCGCGAACGCCATACCCTGCTGCTCTGTAGCAAGTTTTGACCCGACCCGACCCGACCCGTGGTGTAACCGACCCGGGTACGGGTCACAAATACCCGTGCCTACGGGACGGGTCGGGTCATCAAAACAGAGTCAAACCCGACCCGCCGACCCGACCCGTCCCGACCCGTTTTGGTAACGGGTCGCCCTAGACGGGACGGGTCGGGCCGGGTCGGGTCAATTGCCTATGCCTATTCACAACCTGTTTCATTGCTTTAAGCATCACTTTTTTTTTTTACTCTCCAGGAGCATTCGACACAACAACATGCAAGGGCCCTTCCCGAGTGCTGTGCTCACACTTACCACCCTTGAATCCTTGTGCGTTCTCATGATGAGCTGACAAGACCACTTCCATTGGTTATGTGAGAACATGACATACTTGAAAACCCTTTCTGTTTAAAAAAAAGGGAAGAAGAAGAAGAAGAAGAAAAAACTTTGCCTCAATTACTGTTTGTTATGATCATTAATGCTCCCATAGTTTGAAAGTGCGTTTAGAACACTCGTGCATTCCCAATGACAAGGAACCTCTGGAGTCAGTCCGTGTCAATCCAGGTTCCACCAGCATGTGATCTACATTGCTATTTGATGGAAATGCCAAGGAAAGAGCATGCCATGCCATTGCCTAAAAAAAAAAAAAAACAAAAAGACACAGGATTGGTTTGCCAGAGCATATTCCTCCCCTTTGTCACATTTACTTTGGCTGCAGAGATATTGGACAAAACGAATTTTCAGGGTCCATTCCTGCAGACATCTCCAAGCTCACGCGGTTGAGGGATCTGTATGTTTCCACTGGCTTCTATGATTGAATCTGCCAGACACGATATTATATTATTCTTTTGCCACACCTCAAAGAGGAGTTGCTATGCACGGCAATTGCTCTTTTTCCTGTGATGGATTCTCGCTGCCATGAACTCTGTGTCACAATGGAGTGAGGGAGGGGAGGGGCTCCATGTGGCATCTGCTGGTATAAGTGATAGACAGGAAAGGATGTGGGATAAACATGCCTGGTATGATTATGGATGAAGGCGAGTTCAGACTCCCACTATGATTCAGGGAAGTGAGCTAAGCAATGTAATGTTCAACAGCAGCATTTTGCATAGCAGCAGCAGCAGCAGATCTGTGTGGATCTGGCCATGAACTTGCATAACTGCTTTCGTCACACATCTTAAATGTCGAGGTTTCTATGTCTGTCGGTTTTGGCGCAAACATGAGTCGAAACGATAGTGGTTCAATCCAAACATGAGTTGGTTCGACTCGAGCCGAATCCGCGAGATAGAAGGAGTAAACGCCGATGAAGGCCTAAAAAGCCGAAACGCGCGTACGTTCTCTGAACCACTTGTAATCTACCGATTTAATACTACTACGTTTACCAACGCGTGTTCTCGCCTAGTACTCAGTAAGATTAGTACCTTTCAGATTAGTCATTACCGGTCGGTCAAACCGAGCTTGCAGCTTTCTACCCGTTTCTCAGTTTGAGAGATAGAAGGAGTGCACCATTTGTACGGAACCAGTTTGAGTCGAACTAATCCGGGGTTCACAATTATGCTCAACCTAAGTCTTTTCAGGCCGCCTCCGGGCCCGGACGGTGCTGGGCCGACCCGCCCTGGTTCGACAGCTGGAAAAGGATGGCCCAGCCTGGCTGATGTCCGGGCAGCCCATGCTCATGTCTACTTTATAGTGTTTCGACCAAATGGGCCACCCTCAGCCTCTTCCGCCTGTTTCCTCGCGTGTTTCTTTCCATGTGCCTGCCTTAACAGATATCTAGACTACAACAGTTTTCACGGGGAGATTTCATGGATCTCCACTCTTTCGACTGTGGAAACCTTGTATGGGTCCATCCATATGCAGCTCACCGCCCTCTCCCGTCTCCTCCTGTCGAAACGATCTTCCTCCATCTTTTACCCTTAAGCGTTCTTCCAAGCATTCATTTTTTTCATGATTCGTATAACGTTTGTAACTCCCATACCCAGGTCGTTGCAATACAACAAATTCAACGGGCAGCTGCCGGGTACCCTGTCCTTGATTGCTTTAAACTCACTGTGAGTATAGATGCTTCTTTTATAATAGTTAGTCATGTCGCTGCATGTTAAGCAGTCAGTCATGAATTTTCATGCTTGTTTCCATTTTACGTTACAGCCGTTGCATAGCGTTAGGCATACTGAACTATTCCACGCCAACCCGGGTCAGTCGGGCCGGCCACCTAATTGGTTCGAACCAGAACCATCTCGTGTCCAAGGTGCAAAATTTCGCCGAATTTTTCATTTTTTGGGCGAAAATTTCGCTATCGAAATTTTCGACCGAATTTTTCGATAATTTCGGTCCCCTTCCCAAAAAACAAAATGGTGGAAAATTTCGCCGAAATTTCCAAGAAACAATTTGAGAAAATCGTGTGTAAATTGATAAAATTTATGGGTGGACATTGTAATGGCATTTCGCCGCCAGATCTAGGCGGATCTGGCATTTCGCCATTAGATCTAGGGCAGATCTGGCATTTCGCCATTAGATCTAGGGCGGATCTGGCCTTTCGCCATTAGATCTAGGGCGGATCTGGCCTTTCGCCATTAGATCTAGAGCGGATCTGGCATTTCGCCATTAGATCTAGGGCGGATCTGACATTTCGCCATTAAATCTAGAGCGGATCTGGCGTTTCGCAGCCAGAGAAATTTAGGCAGTGTTTTTTTTTTTAAGGTCTATTAAAATTTCGCCGAAATTTTACAAAAACGGCCGAAATTTTCGATCGAAAATTTCGGTTCGAAAATTTCGCTTAGCGCAATTTTCCACCTTGCTCGTGTCGAAGCTTCTTCGCACCCAGTCGGCCCGTGCCGCGATCGTCTGCAGCTCGTCTCAAACCACACAGGCGGTTTATGACCGGTTCGAGTTCGGCCCGTTCTTGATGGGAATACTTCCAATAGCAAGATGGAGTCTGCTCCTTCGATGCTCAACTAGGCTTGTACAAAAGTTGAGCCCGAACTGGTTCAAGTTGAGCCGACTTGAACGGGCAGGTTGGTTGAACCAACCCGAACCAGTTCAGTTCGTCTAGGTTTTGATCACTCCATTTCGTTTTGGCTGACCATTAGTCACAATGATATCTTGTGCTCTCAACACATGAATAAACACGCGAACTGCATTTCTATTCCTTTTTATCGAACCTAGACACAAAGCGTTTGTTGTTTCAGGCACATCACGAATTTAGATCTGAGCGTAACTGATTTTTTTGGCGGGGTCGCTTGTCTAGTGTCACATGGTATCTTGCGTCCGCTTTGTGCAGACTTCCCCGTTCTTACCCACCCCCCCTCCTCAAACCCACCCATTCCCCCTTCCCCCTTCCCCCTCCTTTTCTCCCTCACCTCTAAGTGGGGAAAGGGTTAGGGTGGCGGTTTAGAAAATCAGAGTTCCAGTGAAAAACTGTAAATAAACTAGTGCCTCCGGGATATGAATGGGTACGGGAGAGATCAAAATGTAAGTCAATCTTTGGGTTCTTGTTTGGTTCTACTCATACATTTGCCTTTAAAAGCAAGAATCTCGTCTCGCATCGGGTGAGTAGAAAATAGGAAAGCGCAACTTGTTACTCGCCTGAACGAGTACAAAAAAATGGGGCGAGTTTTTTGCTCGCCTCGTTGCTCATGTCTAACTCGAACCCTTTGCGCAGACAAACACTTTATCTTGTCTGAAATTGGTGTCACCATGTGTTTTGTCAGGATGCTCCAGAACAATGGTTTCTCAGGATCGTTGCCTGATTTTTCAAAGTGGTCTACTTCCCTAATGGCTCTGTAAGTTACATAAAATTGTCTGCTTTGTTTGTCAGGGACAGCAACATGAGTTGAGCTGTATTGAGGACGCTTCTGGCCAAACGATCATAACGAAGCACATTGTCATGTAAATAACATCTAAGCGAAGGGCCCAATGGCATGTTTGAGTTAAAATGTATGAGAAAGCATCAGATCTTTGTAGCTGGTGCATGACAAACACTCTGTACAATCAACAGGAACCACAGCCATGTTAACCGAGCCAATACCCTCGGACATGACACCTGTGCGTGCAACTTTGCGTGCTGCCCTGCCATTATATGGCCCTAGTCATGACTCATGAGCGCGAACAGAAGTCGAACCATGTTGAACTTCAGTCATACTCGAAATAAACCTGTGCGATTCGAGCCAAACCTTTATTTTGTTGTCTGAAATTTGAGGTTCGGCATTCAGGCTAACATTGGCAAGCCTTTCCAGGTTCTGTCGAAATCATGTGGTTTTGATTTGACCCAAGCGTCAAATGTCATCCTACTGCTGCTACTTCTTCAAATGTAGTTAGTTTTTGAGTAAATGATCACCTACGACCCTTTCTACCTTGTGACACTGCTACATCCTCCTGGAATAGACCTTCATAAATATAAGCAGGGGATTACAGTTCACGTTATAAGGTGAGTATGCAAACAGCAACTACCTACCGGCGCTCTACAACGCGCCTGTTGCTTCCTTAATAGTGTGGAAATCGGGTTCACAGCCGTTGGAGCTGAGACGAAGGCGGCGTTTGTCTTGACGATGGGAGCATTCGCATGAGCCCTCAGGAGTGCAGGACCAGTGTTGGCAGAAGGGGTAACATAACTTCTCTGCCGCCTCTTTGGACTGGAGGAAGGTTCCTCGGCGGGTTTTTTTGCCAAGCCACTCCGAATGGTGGCGGTATTTTTGCTCTTTGGCTCGGCCACTACCTTCACTGCCCGCCCCACTCCACGGGACGTGGTCGGCCGGGACTTGGCTGGAAATTGAGTCTAAGAACATCACGTCACAGATCCAGACCACGCGGGAGTCAGGGTGACGGATATCAACATAGGTCTTAAAGCCCAGGAGGCGCTCAACAGTTTTTCACTGTGCCGTAAAGCACGCGTCTTCCGCAATTCTGGTGCAATCATGACGGAGGGTGTGGTGTGCCCCTGAGAAACCTCACTCAGCCCGACCAACAACTTCATGCTTGCGGCACGGAGTGTTCAGGACTCGAATAAAGCTACTTAACCTGAACCTGTTCGGCCGAACCGCGTCAAACCCGAATACATTTGGGTTCGAAATTGTTCAGAACAAACACGCGTGTTGTTAACGTATGGTAACTTGATGTACCCCACTGATTTCTGATTTCCACAACCCCCCCAGGCCATAAAGGCAGGCAATCAGTCACACCGTATATTTCAATCTGGGCGGTGTGTGTGATTATACAAAAATACAGCGAAAATGTGAACAGACATGTTTTCCCCCAACACGTAAGTGTTTGTATTAAGAGGCAAACACTCCAACAATCTTTTCAGAATGAGGAAAGGCATTCGGTATATTTTTGACCCGATCACATTCGGGTAGAAGTAAGAGGAGCTAAGCTTGAAGAAAGGGAATCCTAGCTGTCAGTTCAAACATGGGAAATGGGCCTCCCTCCCTCCTCCCCACAAACCTTTGTGCTGGTTTGACGACCTGTGTGGGTTTCTGCTCTGCGCACGTGTGGGGTCTCGTTGATCGGTTCGACCTGAACATGTTCTTTGCAAAACAAAAAGGTTCTGTTTGTTCGTAGTCGAACTGCTTCAATTGAATCGAACCAAGGTTCCGTTCGATGCTCATGTCTACTTTGCCTGTCCAGTATTGGTCGTACTATTGCGGATTTGAACACCAAATCGGCTTTGTTACACAATCTGTCACTATCTTTTCTACCGTCCTTTGTGTGCTGTTGATTTCCGAATCTTCAGTCAATTCTGGCATGGGAATGGCATAGGTGGTGCAGGAGTCAGCAGGATAGGCTTAGAATTAGCTGGAGCTTGAATAAATGTAGTTTTAAACTTGTTTCGGTTGACATGGCTTGGGACAAACCAGTCAAACCAGCCTCGACCAAAACTAAAACCGATTCGTCTTAAACCTGGCGGCCGAAAGAGAACGCCCCATTTGGTTGGCAAACTATGGTTCAGCTCTTTGCTTATGCCAACCTTACATAGTCCTGCAATATATGTGCTTCACTATAAAAACGCATCACCAGGCAGGAGATATGGTTTTTGGGCTTTGTGGGTGCAATGTGGGTGCAGGAATCTCAGGGCCAACAATTTCACAGGGTCCATCCCAGACTCCATCAGTGCTCTGACTAGTCTTTTTGTCTTGTACGTTTGGTGGTTGTTTTATTGAAAGTGTTTGTCCTTCTTGTGCATAAAAAGTTCCATTCAGATCCATGGACACATGTACGTACGTATGTATGTGAATGTAGGTCACCTGTGGACCGAAGTGGTACCACACTCGTAGATTGTAGACTATGATGCATTAAAGCCACCTGGGAGTTACCACCTACCAATAAGCAGTGATTTGGTAGAAAGCGTATGGCATCCCCCGTATGTTTCATGACACGTCTCTAAATCTGTTGTATTGTAGTATGTGCTATTGATGCTCTCTGCAGTACCGTGAGCAGAAAACAACTCTCGGGAACAATCCCAGCAGCTCTGTTGAGCTTAACGAGCCTGGCTCTTGTGTAAGTCACTCCTGTTTGTATGTCACCTCCTCATCCATCGAATTCCTCTTTCGCTCTCCACACCACATCATGCATCATAGTTCTCCTCAGTTACTAATTGTGATGTTCCACATGCATTCGTTTCGTTTCGTTTGCATCTTTCGCATGCCAGATCACTATGAATCATGTCCCTGTCATCCCCGCACCCTCACCAGTGACCTTGCTTCCAACAGCTTTTCAGGACCCTTGCCTTCGTCCATTGGTGCACTCTCCAATCTCGCTAAGCTGTACGCACTGTTACGTGCATTATGCACTGTGTTGCAGTAATCTATGTTAGAGATTGACTTCAATCTCACATTTCTTGGCATAGCTTTCATGGGCCTTGCTTTTGCACAATTCATCTTCCACATCCTATTGTGATAAATTGCAAACTCAAGCCCACAGATTGGAATTCGGATTGATTCCAGGGTACGATCTTCGCGAGTGTCAGGTGTGCTGACACGAAGCTGTGAAGGATATGGATTGAAGTGAAGATAATCTGGAATGATTGGAGTTGTCAATAGCCTTGTGTTAGAAAGCTTGACACTGGCCAAGAACATGCTGTCGTCAGGGATTGCCTCCAATCTCCTTCCCACCTTCTCCACCCATTCAAAGGGCCCTCAGCTCTAGCTCTTGCTCAACACTTCTGCGAGTCTTTGCACACCTGAAGCCAACTCCTTGCAAACTTTGGGCAATAATGTGCCTTTAAAAAGGACAGCTTCATGTCTTACCGTCCCTGCTTGGCCTGGTCTTCCCCGCTCGCCAGATCTGATAACTCTTCTCTCCACGCGCTGGCAGGTCTGTGTATGACAACCTGCTCTCGGGCACGCTTCCTGCATCTATATGCAACCTCACAAGCATGGACACCATGTAACGCCTTTCTCACTCATGAATACCATGTAACGCCTTTCACACTCATGAACACCATGTAACGGCTCTCACATGCATTGACACCAATATAACGCCTCTCACTTGCATGGACGCCATGTAACGCCGTTCTCACATACGTGTTTAAAACTATCTGACAAGTGTGGTGATGCAAGAATGACTGTGCAATATGAGTGCACAGTAGCAGGGAACACAGGGTGAGTTCCATGTGTTCGGTGAAAGGTGTAAAGATTAGGAGTTTGAAATCCTCAAAGCATACCAAATGGTAAGGGAAGCTCGTGAGAACAGAATGTGGGTTGCGGCTACAGCTGGCGAGCTGCTTGCGGCTGTTGGAGAGTAGAAAATGGGTAAATGGGTAGGTGGATGGGTGGAGGATATGGTATGGAGACCAGTAGTGTTCAATCTGGTGGATGGGTAGCTAAATGGGCCAAGATGGGTGCTTCAATACCCACAAGATTTGTCATGAGCATGGGCCGAGCCTTTTCAGCCAGGGTTTACCCTATGTTACCATTGACGCCTCTAGCCTCCAGACCAGACGCCGGCTTCCAGATGCTAGACGCTTGATCCCGGGTCCTTGGACGCTGGTTGGATGCTTTATTGGGCAGCCTAGAAAATCGTTCGGGTAGGGGCAAAATGCCCAGGGAAAGGGGAGCGGAGATGGTGGAGGTGATTACACAATAATGCTCATGTTCGTGTGAATGTATAATTTGCAGCACTGGCTGTAAGTTAGATATTGAATGCAGGCAGATGAAGGTGGTTGAATTTTTTTACTACTATTGGGATCTGGAAGCTCAATGCACACCTTTAATTCACACTTAATAGTCCCCACGGGATCACCTCCAAGGGTCCTCGGGTGCCTGGAAAAGCCAGCTTCTAACCAAGGGTCCGTGTTTGTAGAGGGACACACCAAGTGTAAAACCAATTGTGTGCAATACAGCACTCTCAAAACTTCTTGTGCAGCGTTATGATGACGAACTGGTTCGTGTGCAGAGATTTCTCTTCATGTCAATACGTTGATAGAGAAAACATTCACTCAAAGGATTGATTACAACTTCGCACGAGCACACAATTTATGTTTCACCCAACACACAAGCAAAAGAAACACGAAGCCGGATTTTTAACTAGACTTCAAGACTTCGCCAGATGTGCCAAGGAAAACGGTTGTCGAACTGTAGAGTTTTTCCTGTACGGGCGCTGAATTTCAGTGTTTTTTTCATTGGTAATGTTGAGTGTCACAGCTTTTTTCTGTACCAAGGATGATGGATCAGCCTGGTCCAAAATGAATCTAGGGGCCTGCTTGTTACTTGATTCGTCTTTGTTTTGGTTGTACACATTCACTGGCCTTGTTACTGTCTGGCTCAGAAGCCGGGGTACAGTATTCCCCCCTCCCCCCCCCCCCAACTACACCCTCCCCCCTCCACCCTCGGGTAGCTAATACAAGGGGGGGGTAGGGGGGGTACTTTATTAAACCTCGAAATCGTTATACCCCCCATTTGGGGGGAGGGGGGGGGGGGGGGGTGTGTCCTTCCCTATAGTGAGGTTTTCCATGTAAATTTCCCATGCTAGTGTGCGAATTTGACTGTAGGGGGGTGGATTTCGGATTTTTTTTTTTTCGGGTGTAGTTGCTGCATCAGGGGGCGAATTCACTGTGTCACGGGGCAAATTTGCTCCGTCAGGAGGGGAACCTACTACGTCAGGGGCAAATCTTCTATGAGAGACGAATTTGCACTCACTGGTCAAGACCACCTGACAGCATTCCAAGCGAACAGTGTTCTGCTGGCTTCTTGCTCGCCAAAAGCAAACCCCCGACTTCAGTAATAACTACCATGTTGGAAAAAAAAAAAGAAAAAGAAAGAAAGAAAAAAAAAAAAAACAAAAAATTGCCATATGGTGTCAAGAACATAATGATGGTTTGACTAAGGTTGGTTGGGGTACATAAACCTAACCCTAACTGCTGTACCCCATATACACGACAAGCCTCACTACAGGCTACAACATTTGACACACCCCCATAGCCTAAGTGAGGGGTGCCATGTAACAACCAAGTAGTACGGTCACAAGACCAGACTCAAAGAAGCAAAGCTCAAGGTGGATCACATCACCACACACTCTGAGCACAAGCAAAAGAGCCACAAGGCTAGTTCAAGAGTTCACAGAGGCATATGCAAAGCGTAAAAACAAAGCAAGCAGAGAACACAAGACTACGCAAGACGAGAACCTGTGTCAACGAGACCTAACTGCACACAACACCTCTGGTGGTCACAAGGCGGAAGCGCCTTGGTGAAGACGTCTGCAGTGTTGGCCTCGGACTCCACAAAGTCGAATCGAGCTTGTCCACGTCTCTGCAACTTTCGCAAAAGAAAGTACCTTACGTTCATGTGCTTCACTCTGCTCTCCAGTCGCGGCTCTCGACAGAGAAGAATCGCTGCCTTGTTGTCAGCGAACAAGGTCGGTGCAGAGCTCGGCCGCTCACCAAGGTCGGTGAGCAAGAACGTCAACCAACGCAGCTCCTGTGCAGCCATAGCTCCAACGTAGATTTTGGCCTCAGCAGTAGAGGTCGAGACTCAGGAGGAACGAGTGGACCTCCACGAAAAAGCTCCAGAGTCCAGGCTGAAATAGTACCCCTGAGTAGACCTGTGAGTCTCGGCGTCGTCAGCGTAAGAAGAGTCACAGTGACCAGTAAGTACGATAGGCTGACTCCCTCCAAGAACCAGCCCTACGCCGGATGTCGCCGCTAGGTACTTCGCCACCCTCAAAGCCGTTGTCTAGTGAACAAGACGGTGTCTCCCTGGCGCAACAAAGCGAGCAAGGATGCTGAAACGGAAGACGAGGTCCGGACGAGTACAAGTCATCAGGTACATGAGGCAGCCCACAAGCTCTGCGTAGGGACCACTAGGCTCAAACGGCTTGTCAGGAAAGGGACCAATGAGTCTGTGGTCAACAGCAAGAGGTGTGCGGTGTAGTGTGGAGTGCTGAAGCTCGAACCGCTGAAGGACCTGCTGCACCACGTGTGACTGAGAGAGTGTGATGGTGCAAGAAACTCTGTCCCTGGTGATCTGCAGGCCAAGGTAGTGGCGCAGCTCACCAAGGTCAGTGCACATGTGTCTCTTCTGCAGTTCGGACTTCACGTCAGCCAAAGCAACCCTGTCAGCAGTGGCGAAAACCAGGTCGTCGACGTAGACCAGTACAAAGAACGGTGTGGAGCCACGACGAACAAACAGCGACGGGTCAGATGTCAGACAGGGTAGAATGATGGGTGTCGTGCCACTCATGAGGAGCCTGACAAAGACCGTAGACCGGTTGCCTCAGCCTCCACTAGGTCTCAGGAGGGAAAGTGCCAGTGAAGGCAGAGGGACGACGCAACCAGACCTCCTGGTCTAGGCTACCCTGAAGGAAGGCAGTGGAGAAGTCGAGAGAGTGTAGCTCGTAGCCGCTCTGTGCTGCTATGTGCAGTGACACCCGAAGAGTGGTCATCTTTGGGGTAGGCGCGAAGGTCTGAAAGAAGTCAACTCCATCGTGCTCACTGGAACCTCTAGCCGCATAGCGCGTCTTGAAGACCCGAGGAGATCCCGGTGGCGGCTTCACCCTTAAGATCCACATGCCATCTACTACGTTCGCCCGAGGGGGGGGGACCTCGTCGATGTAGGTGCCTGTGGATCTGTAGGAGGCCATCTCTGCGTCCATGGCAGCTCTCCACTGAGAGGCCCAAGGCCCTGACACTGCCTCAGCGTAAGTGCGAGGAGTCGGTATGTCAAGGGCGTCAGGGTCTTCCTTGACACAGGGGCGAGCAGCATGGCATAGAGATGAGGGGAAGCGGCTGCCAGGAACTCTAGCTCAAACTGCCTGTCCTCTAGGGCGTCACAGCCAAGGGCAGACTCACCCCCGACGGCCAGAGGACTGGTAGGAGGAGCAGCCACAAGACTGGTGGCGTAGTCAAGGCGGCGAGTAGAGGCAAACTCAGTGACCGCGGCAGTAAGAGCGGAGACATAAGACACAGAGGCACAAGGGTCTGTAACAAGAGATGCGAGAATACAAGAGAAAACAGGACCGTACGTGCGGTAGTAGTCTATGACAGGAGTGGAGAGGGAAGCAGTGAGGGCCGACTCAGGGGAGGAAGGAAGTACAGACGGAGACGAACAAGGCGGACTAGAACAAAACAGGGCAGTACGAAGGTCAGTGACGGGAACAGGGGACGAGGGACGAGCACGAGGAGAGCGACGAGAGGCCCAAGTGTGAGAAAGAGGAGAGGACAATGAAGGCTAAGAACAAGGGAAAACAGTTGGGGAGGGGTCAGGAGGAGGAAGCGGAGGACCAGAGACGGGAGGAGAGGGGGGGGGGAGGGGGGATAGGAAGAGGGGAG